GGGTGATTACAGCTGATGGCTGGAGCCTGATCCGTCAGAGAACTGGCTGTCAATTCTTCTGGGAGTGTGACTCTGAGCCAAGTCAGGGAGTCCTCTGACGGAGGACAGTTTAGTCTGTAAAACTGAAAAGGTACCAGGGGAAATCTTAAAAATACAGATATGACTGTTGATTTGAAGTAGAACAAATTCATATCCTCCCTAGCCTAAAAAGCCCTGAGTGGACTTTAAAACCTTTCCAGTATAACACAGCGTTCAAACTAGGAGGGCGGAGCTCAAGTGGTAGCGTGCATGCTTAGCACGCATGAGGTCCTGGGTTCAATCCCCAGTGCCTCCATTAAACAAACCTAGTAATAAATAAATAAATAGACCTAATGACCCCCCCAAAACAGACCCAAAACCAGTCTTGCCAAAATGACTTGCTCGTGCCAAAATCCCGCCCCCCAACCCAGTTCTTTTCCTTTTACTGCTGCAAATCCCACTTCTCTTCTTAGATCCCCCTCTCATATTCCCTCCCGTAAAGGTTTCCCTGAAGGTGCCAGCCCTCACCTGATTGGAATGGCAAGACCTTTCATGATCCATGATTCCCAATGTGGTATATGCTCCCAGTGGTTTGGTTAATTATTCTCTGCGTTTATCACTGACATAGAGATTATACTCTGTTTCTCTCACTGTCTCCTCATCCCTCTACCACTGCCCACTCCTGTTCCATCTTCCTGTGGCTAGCAGAGTGTCAGGTGTCAGGTGTCAGGTAGATACTTAACAAATGATCTTTGTCAGCACAGGTATAACAGCAGTCCTGTAAGTCAATTCATGCCTTCTCTAGTGTGGCTTTCTTTTGACTTTTACCTTCGGGGATGTTTCTGATACCCGAACACATCCCGATGAGGAACAGGCTCATATTGTAAAAGACGCAGGCCCAGGTCGTGCAGCAGGAAGGCACGTGTCACATATACACGGGTACCTGCTGCTCCGGATGACTGCTCGCAGGAGACATACAGGCTCAGCGCCATCAAATCTGACTTGTCTGGGAAAATCTGAAATCCAGACTTCTTAAAACGTTGGCCTGTGACTGTAACATGTCAACATTGACAGCATAGAACGGGGACTGAACAGAACGGGGGAGATCTCAAAGTAGACTCGTGTAGATGGAAACTGGATAGATAATCACAGTGGTGCCGCAGTGGGGGGAAGATGGGTTGGAGAAAGGTGGTTTGGGGAAACTGGTACCCAATCTTGAAAAAGACGAAGCTGGATACTGCCTTATACTGGATACGTAAGTAGACTCGATAGATGAGAACTAAGTGTAAAAGGCAAAGCTACTCAGGCTGGCTTCACAGCCTAGACACTGGGAAGGATGTTTTAAGACAGATCCTCGAAACAGATGGTAAGTCAGCAGAGCAATGGATCTGACCGCGTTAAAATGAAACATTTCTAGTCCAGAAAAGATACCAAGTGCAAAGTTATCCGTTGATGACTGACTGGGAGATGATATTGACAAGGTTAAATGGATATCTAGCAAAGTGAAGGAACCTATCATGTAAACCAATGAGAAAGTCAGAAAGAGAAAAACATCTGGAAAAATGGGCAAAGGCAATGAACATGCAGTTTCCTAAAGAGGAAACTTCACTAGTTAGTAAGTTTTTCACAAAGTGCTCAACTTACTAATAATTAAGGAAATCAAATCAAATCAATGAACTGTAACTTTATACCTGTTAGATCTAATTCTTGCGAACAGTAGGTATGGGCAAAAATGTGGGGGAATAGGAACCCACGTGCAGTCCCAGTAAGAGCGGAACCAGCATAGCCATCCTGGAGTAGTACTTGGTAGCATCTGATGAAATTGGATTTGCATGTATCTTTGAGTAAGTCCACTCCTGGGTATGTGGCCAGGGAAATTCTTGCACAGACCCACCCCTCCCAGTTTATGCCACTTATCCGGGTGTAATTATTACTAGCGGTTCCATCCGTCCACTCTCAGTGTCCTGACTTGGATGATATATTGATGACTAACCATTAGGTGGCATCCTTACTGTGTGGTTTACCGTCACAGGGCACCACAGGCAACTCAGGTACTGGTACCGAGGGAGCAGACAGAGAAAAGTGGTGGATTTAGTATATGAAATGCCATGCAGCAGTGAGAAGGAAAGGATGGGGTGTACAGAGAAGGGAGGGGGAAAATATGGTTTTCCGAACAAAAGGCATCTGCAGGTTGAATTAGTGTATAAAGGTTTACTTTGGATTTTTTTTTAAAGACAATTTTTTTAGAGTAGTTTTAGGTTCACAGCAAAATTACGAGGAAGGTACAGAGATTTCCCACATATCTCCTCCCTCCACACATGCACTGCCTCCCTGCCATAATCAACGTCCCCCATCAGAGTGGTACATTTGTTACAGTTGGTGAACATACACTGACACATCATTACCACCCACAGTTTACAGTTTATGTTAGGGTTCTGGTGATGTACATTCTGTGGGTTTGGACAAATGTGTAATGACATGTGTCCATCATTATGGTTCCATATGGAGAATTTTCACTGCCTTAAGCATCCTCAGTACCCCTCCCATTCATCCCTCCCCTCCCCACAGCTCAGCTTGGATTTTTTTGTTTGTTTTGTTAGTGGTGGCATGTACCATTGCTTGGGTGCATTGAAACTTGCATAGCCACCTGGTTGTGGAAAGTTGATCCTTCTCCCATAAGGGGTGGGGTTTCTGCAATTGTCAAGTGATCTGGTCTTTTTTCTCCTGAGCCCTTGGTCCTCTTAGAGGTCAGCTGTCAGAGAGAATGGTCTCTGACGTCATATAATTTCATGGCTTGGAGAAGAACCTCTTCACATGGAGAAAAGGGATTCTCAGTGGTGTGAGCCACCTTAAGCCATAAACACGAAGTAGACTTCACTTAAGTCTTTATTTCAAGGCTCCCTCTGCCTTGCCTTCATCAGCCCAGGTAACCTTCCAGCATCACTGAGCGGAACGCCTTTGGTGGCAAAGAGCTCTGATGGGAGAGGCTTCTGTTTGAGAGCCTTTCTGGCCCACAAGTCAGCTGGAAATTGACCTTCTGTATCTTAAACACAGGATAGACAAATGGCTTTTCAACCAGCGTCCCCCCGGGGAAGCTCACAGGGGTGCTTTGATCGCTGCTGCCGTGCTGTTACTTTCTCTCCCCTGGTGGAGGTGGTGCTGCCAGCGTCCTGCCAGTGTTGCAGCCAGATCCCCAGTGGAAGTATCCAAACTGCTGGCTGTAGATGCTGCTGCGTCTCTCTCTCCCTCCCTCCCTCTCTCTGTAAAGTTAGCACCTTTGTGATCAGCAGATGGGACAGCAGAATAAAGACTTCAGCAGCCACTGAAACAGCTGTTGTGACCATGTGAAAGGTATTTCTCCCTCCTTCCGCCCCTTTCCAGAGAAATGGCCCTTTGGGTTGGAGCAGGAGACTGGTGGTTCTATGCACAGAATAGGTCTGGTTTGGCGAAGATGAAGCACCCCGACCATCTCTGTGTCACTGGAGTGCCATGGGGGATGTGTGGCATTTTTCATCTCTTTTTGATCTTTGGATTTTATTGCTGGGATCCTCCTATTCTGTGTCTGCTACTTCCTGGGCTGTGGGCATGAAGAGGTTACAGCAGCCAGGAGCCTGCTGGGCTGAGTTAGCACTTCCCTCTGCATCCAGAATCTCTCCAAGTAACGGCCCTTTTACATCATGGAAAAGGGGTGGCGGTGCGGGCGGCGGCGGGGGGGCGGCTGCAGTAGGTCCGAATGGCTGCAGTAGTGCAATAGGTAGGAGCAGGCTCCTGGACCATGTCTCGGCGAGGAGGGGGGCCAAAGGCGTGC